CGAAAATCCCCTTTTTTTTTTTGACTGAAGACTAAGTGGCAGAACGCAGAAGTTTCGAGGCTCGAGAAGTCCAGTCGCGAGTCGCGACGTGCGACTTGAGATTTCTTTCAAAGCGAACGCGAGAGGCAACGTGTCGTATACTCATATATCAATTGCCAGGACATCGGAGTACAATATGTTTAAAACGCCCCCAATCGCATTTTACTATACCACACTGCTTTCTGTGACAATTTTTTTATGCTTTTTTTTATGTTTTTTTTTTATCAATCAGAAAAAACATGTATGTAACTGATGAACCGTTTCACGCGCATCATGCTTCGTACAATCTTACTGTAAATGTCCGATTGATATCGTTGTGAGCCGTGAGCCGGTGAGCGTGTATGCGGAGGATATGAATTTTAAAATAATTACAAATTGAAGATATAGTTTGGTAGTGTTGTCACAATAAACACGCACGCATTCATATCTATATAGCACTATAGAGGTCGTATTTAAACTGTTGAGTAAACCTGACGGAAACGAAAAGTCTACGTTCTCACCATGTCAACATACGGATCGACCAATGCTGATCCACACGCACGTACACAGATACAATCGCAATCAGAGCTCGAGATTGAACGAAGCTCGTTGCTCAGTCAAAATGCAAGCGGTTGTATGGATAGCGAATATGTAAGTAATCCTGATAAGCTGACACGCGGCGACAGTGTTTTTAGTTTACAAGCGCATATCACAGCTTTCAAGAGGGCTTTCGTCAGACAGAGTTTATTCGAGTACTTGACTCTGTGGGTAGTAGGAGCTACAATGGTGTATCTGAAGTTATCGCACCCGACTCCACGGACTGTGAAGTATGTCAACTACCTGGATTACGTTATGAACCACGAGGATTTAGAAATTGATCCTGCAACGAACCACACATGTAAGTATTGCCCTAGTATTGCAAGAGTGTCACTTGTAGTCAGTGATAACAGCACTGCATATGAATGGGCTTTAGTTTATGATAAACCGTATAGGGTGATTGTTGTCGGATGTGCATATTTGCTTCATAGATATCACTGTACAATCCACACAAACGTACGCACGTGTAAAAATGTACGTTCTACATTACGGCTTCGTTCGTACATGTTTACATTGATGCTCTCGAGCATGATTATGTTTGCTTGGTACATGTCTGCTTCTATATGCATATATTGTTAGTTATCATATAGTATTATATATACACTTATATATTTATGTATTTATATATTTATATATTTATATATATATAAATACATATATATATGTTTATGTATTTGTATATATATATGTGTGTTTGTGTGTGTGTAGGTGTGTAAATTCGGATATTCAAATGACAAATCCATATATATATATATGTATATATATGTATGTATGTATGTATGTATGTATATATATATATATGTGTGTGTGTGTATATTATATATATATGTATATATATATATATATATATATGCAAATCTATGTTGTCTTACGTACATATGTAGATTTAGACTAACCTTTCATGTACATCTGTATATATACTTACACAAGTATATATATGTATGTATATATATATATGTGTGTGTGTGGTGTCTATCTTTATTTCTATCCGTCAATTGATATATTGCTGTCGTAATTATACGAATATGTTCTTACAGGCACAGCAATATTTTTTTTAGGTTATGTCTTAAGCGAATATATATATATATATATTATATATATACATATATTATATATATATATACCTATATACCTATATATATATATCGATGTGTGTGTGTGTGTGTATTGTCATGCGTATATTTCTAGTATACATATACATGAAATATATATGTATGCAATATAAATAATGCATGTACAGTTAGATTTATAGAAGGGAGATAGGTTGATTCAGATATGCAGGGAAAAGATATTGCTAGGTAATTCATAATCTGTATGTGCTGAATCCTTATTGGTTTGCAGGGTATATATTCCTACACATATATATATATATATATATGTGTGTGTGTGTGTGTGTGTGTGTGTGTGTATGTATACCTATACAAATATAAACATAAATATCTATATTACATCCATATCCATATATTGTACATCTCTATGGGAACTATATAATCAATTTTTCCCTATATTTATCTCTACATTAGTAGTTAGGATCGCTTATTTAAGATATCTGTACATGTATGGTTTCATATATGTCCTTACATATTATGCCAATGTATATGCCTACATTCACTTAGATATATATATATATATGTGTGTGTGTGTGTGTATACACTAGTTTTTCAACCTGTCATTACCTACTTGTATATTTGCCGCATACTCTGCGAAAGCCTGATCCTTTATCTATGCTTAGTCGGCCACGTATGGAATCTATCCTATCACTTGTGGTCTGAAATTCGATGTCCATACATACTTTTTAAATTCGTCACATTTCATTGGAAGCGCGGAAGGATTCTACTCTCATACGAAGAATCACTTATCCTTTATGGAAGACCTTTGCGTGTCCATTCTGTACAGTCCTAAGGCTACGCCAACATTTTATTGCCGGTTGTTTACTTCTTTACATCACATCGATATCATTTTCCATTTTATTTTACACAATGCTTATACTTTGAGAAAGTCTCTCGCCTCTGTCATTACCTATAGTTGTATCTCTTAGCACAAATAGGATGATTTATATGCAATCTTCCGGCTCTAGAAAATGGAATATCAAGTCAATCAGGCTCTATTCAGTGTTTTGAATATCTAGGGAATGTAGAATAGACACCAAAAGTGCTAACCACCTTGGAGACTGGCCCTCTTAGGGGGTACTCGAGCCAAGTGCCATACGATGCACTCCCTAGATGGTAGTAAGGACAAATAGTATAGGATGGAAGGGATTCACGAGTGTCTCACATCGGACCTACCCTTTCTAGAAGCGATCAGTATACCAAGCTTCATCCCTCACCCTCGTATCACTTTCTATTTTATTTGGTCGCTCATAACTTTATGCCTATATACGGTTATCTCACCTACGACCCACTCGCATAGAGCTTCGATGCAGATCTCTTGCCAAAGCTACAGTATGTAATCTTTCCTATTGTTAAACCTCGTTGCTTTTTGTTGCACACGGGTATCCACCGGTATCTCACAAATCACCATTCTACTCCTACCTAGGCCTTTTATAGAATCTCATTTTTCTTCATCGTACCATACTATGGACTCTTAAATTTATTTAAACTCGAATTCATATAAAGTGCAGAGCCGGGCTTGCACCAGTACCTCGCATACGACCCGTCCATCTCCAAGCCACACCTTGCATTCAAAAACTCACAAATATGATAACTGATATACTTTAAATCATATCGTATTCATCAAACAGACCCGGGTATTCACGAGTACCTTGCATTCAAAAAACCACAAATATGATAACTGATATACTTTAAATCATATCGTTCTCATCAAACAGACCCGGGTATTCACGAGTACCTTACATACGACCCGTCCATCTCCAAGCCGCATGTGTCCACAGAGGGTTTCCCCTCGTGGGCCGGTTATGTAGCGCCAATGGTGCTGTTCTATTTTTGTCTTGCTGCCACAGAGCTCGTATACCAACAGCTGCATGTCAGAAAGAGCTTGACCGTGATGTACTCAAACATCATGTTCTATATCATCGACTCCAGTGTGGCAACGTGTATATCCATGCTGCTGGCCGAGGTTCTCAAGGTGAGTATTCCGAGCCTTTATCCACACGTTGATGTGTAAAATCCACTGTGCTGGGCACTTGCATACGATTGGAAAGGCCGGTTGCGATGTTTGTATGTATCGAATATTGTGGTGGAGCGTATCTTCACGCGGTTGTTCCGTGAGTGTCTCTGTCGTTGTGAGGTGGGTAGTGAGTACGATTCACATACATGTCCGTTATATGACGAGCTGTAAAAGTCCGAACCCCTGCGTGAAATCAAAGCTAGATGATAAGTTTTTGCGCTGTATGGTCTCCCTGCCCTATAGCATTTCTTTTAGCGGTTTAGTTGTTTTTTTTAATCTTTATTACATGCCAATTGTTTGCATCATTTATGTTACCCATCAATGCTTACTTCCTCGATTCTCTTTCGTACACAGACCTCTGTAGGTATCTTGCGACCGGATTTCTTATCGCGTTGTAAGCCTGACCCGTACACCGGAGAATGCTCAGCCTCGAATCTGGATAAGTTAGTGAAGGGTAGGTACTCATTCCCTTCGGGACACGCCACCAGTGGCTTTGCCTTTGCGATCTACTGGTAAGTTCTGCGACAGCTGTAAGGATAGCTCGGCGGACGCTTCGTGCTTATAAGTGTACATTTTCTGCTTTTCGAATTGTCGGTGCGGCCAAATGCATAGATGTATTTGTTCGTATAAGATCTTGTGGCGGGAGGTCTATTGTCCTTCTATTTATGGCATCTACATTGCGGACCTAGCAAATGATCGACCTAGAAGTCCCTCGTCTTCGACCTCTTGACTAGGATTTGTTCGGTTTTATTTTATCTGTGTATGATTATCCATCATTTTAAAAATGTTCTCCCTCTTTTGTGTATCATTTCCGACGTACATGAGCAACTAAACTGTGCGTTTGACTTGATAGCATGCATTGCGTCTAAGATCTATCATGTCGAGTTGTTTTGTGCTCGTTCAGGATCATGTATTGTCATAGGGCGCAGTCTATATCTCTTGTTTTATGTTTTCTGCTGGTTTTATATGTTCTGCCTCGATGAAGCTAGTATGACTTGAGATTCCTTATCAGCAACAATCAATAATTTGGAATACACTGCAATGGTAAACCGTTATGGTTATCCTATCCGGACATGAACCCAGTCATTAACTCCGCCATTGCATCTGAAGTCTGCGATTTTGATTGTTTGATTCATATTGCCATAATATAACCCATCGAATGCGTAGTCTATATAGTGTATATGTGAACACTAGTAGTTACGAAGGGCGATTCCGATTTTAATCGATTCTAACTTGTCCCTATCCCTTGTACCTTCCAGCGCGGCTTATATCATTTATACGTGGTACGTGCGAATCCCAAGGGAAGTCCGCCAACGCCGTGTAACATCTTCGAAAAGATTGCTTGACACACTTGCCGGGTGCGGCTTCTACTTCGTGATATTCATGGTTGCATTCGCTTGGGGCATGGGTGCTTCAAGGATCAATGACAACAGGCATAGCGTACAGGACATCATCGCCGGTGCATTACTAGGTGGAGTATACGGAGCGTTATTTGGTGTAAGAGCGGTATTCAATCACGCGGACGTGAATGAGGAAGACAGGGATCATGATACAAGTGTTGGTAGTCATGGCGAAAGTTGCAATAACAAATCTTACTCGTATAACTAATAGCGATGCATTCATTGCTAAGAGATGTCGAATGTAAATAAATTTAGGGACAGTCTTGAAACAAAAATGAAGTTCCAACTCCGAGTGGTTTTTTCATAAATTAGAGAAAGTAATTGTCAGTAAGTCGTATACTAGTTGTTGTTCTCGCTTTTGTGCTAGCGATAGTAAAATATAATACTCATTTGCGGATTTGATTGCGCTGATCTATATGCTATTTCTTGTGTCATCCCTCAGCACCAGTAGAGTAGCTACCTAGTTTCAAAAAAAAACGCAGAAATATCTCATAATTCGACAATAGCACTGCCGTAAGCGGAGGTTTACTCGCAAGTTCCAAAAAAAAAAAGCCCCCCCTTCTCTGTGATACATGAATAGGTAATATAGCGGGTGTATTGTTTGGCACAAATTTTATCCGAAGAGTCCGAAAATTCAAAGTAAATCTTACATCCGCGCGCACGTTGTACAATATATCTCTTATGTGGTACATATACCTTCTGGCGCGTGAGTACCCCTACTTTTAAACATGAGATTTCCAAGACACTTATCGTGGATGGCATGCATGCGTAGTATTTACTAATATTGACAGAAATTATCACTGGCAAGTTGCTATGTATTAGCCAATACAAATTGAGCAGGGGGTAAATTGAGCAATACGCACACACTGTGTCTGCGGAGGATAATCGAAAACTACCTGGGATAAAGTAACTGCACACGGCTAGACTTGATGGAACGGCGACAGACATCAGTTTACACCTTCGGCTTCCAAATCTCACATAACTTCGCCCAATTTTTTTTTAAATTCGATCAACCGTCGGCGATATAGACTGAATACAGTTGATTCTTTTATTAACATTTATTGCAATAGAGGGTGGAAATTAGTACTCTACTAGTAGATGACCCGGTTCTGAATATGGCTGGCAGTTCATAGTTCAGATTTTAGAAAGAAGAGGGCGTGGTTTTAGGTTATAGGGTTCTAACCTAAACTCTAAACCCCTGAACCATAAAATCGATAGAATTCGTCTATGGGACAATTTCAATTGCTGGTATAATGATTTCACGACCTGTCCACAGAACTGATTGGGTAAACGTTCGACTAGATAATGGATCGATATCCTATGTATCTTCCTCTACCACTAAGTAGAGGGCTTTCTATTTCGTGGTAAATTTGAATTCGAGGCATAGGGGCACTATGACCGTGCGGTAGCGATGGCCATCCATAGGAGCTCGGCGGAAGCATTCAGTTGGGTAGAATGGCCAAAGTATAGCACTAGATAGATTCTGAGAGGGGTGATGCGGACTGAAGCCAACGGCTGCGAATGATTGTCTTCGGACTAAGCCTGTACTGGACAGTATTCTGTCTTCTGGGATTCAGATTGTGGAAAAAGGGGTATTTCCATGTAGTGTTGTCGGAACGAGCCTAGGATGAGTTTTGGAATTTTTGGCCAGCATTCTGGTGGCCGTATCGCGTCTAGTGTCGGTTGAATGAAGATCGGGAAAGGCAGGTCGATACGGGCCACGCTGAAGTGAAGGCTTAAACTTCCATGTAAGGGCAAGAAATATTGTAGATGTGAGTGGATCTTTGCCATTATCATCCAGGCTTCTCGTTCAATCAATTCTAGTTGATTCCGTTATGCGAGGGGTGTAGCCAGGTAAATGTAGCACTTTTGTGTCAATACACTTTGCGTGTAATATAGTAAATGTGGGGTATGTGTTTCGGACATAATAGACTAGCGCGGGGTCCACTTTTGCCGGTCTTGGTATAGAATCAGAAGGAGTGTAGGAGCCTGAGAAGCTATACGATGATAGCTCGCGTACTGTGAGAAGTGAATATCTTGTTCTGATAGTTTCTCTATGTCGCTATGTCTCTGTCGAGTTGTGACATTTTATGTGCACGGTTTGCAAGTTGCTAGTTCGCTGCTGTAGATATACGGCTACTCTGTTGCTTCAGCTCACGAGCTTCAAGTGGTAACTGAAGATATGTTTCGTGTGCCGATCCATGGTTTGACAGGCATGATAGTTGTGCGTTTAGACTTTGTTGCGTAAGGAAGGCTGGGTTAGGAATTAGTTATTTCAGGAGATAGTCGTCTTGGTAGGAGCGGTAAATCAGGTTCCATGGGGTACCATCAAGGTACACGGTTAGTTGATTGGCTGACATAAGTCCGGGGAACTGGAGAATTTTTCTCCTTTGGAAAGTTGGTGGACTGGGACGGGCAGTCTTCCGGTTACATATCGTAGCTGCATTCTTCAGAATAACCTCTTTGGATGTTGCGGTCAGCTCTGTTCCGTCATTTATATGTATAGTGTGCGGTGTCGTCAACGATATAATACTTAAACCGCACATAAATTTTTGCATAAACACCGGTATAGCATTGGTTTTGTGTATGAATGAAATTGTGATCCTGCATGGAAACCGAACGGGGCTGTCATCCGTGTTGCTGTGTTAAGTTTTTTGGTATAAGAACTTTAAGAGACCTTCATATAATACTGAAGGAAATTCTAAAACTATTTGTATTTGAGCACTTTACAGTGTATTAAACGCTTGTTATGTAGGATAGTATTTCGCACAGACTGACATGTCACACGGCTACTCTGAGTCATGATCGTCATTGACTACAATGTACACAACCAACACTTAAACACGTGCAATATGAATACATGAATGTACTATAGTCTATTGACCTCACGGATCTGATATCTACTCAATACTTGCTAACGAGATCTGTTTCGTTTTATTTTCTGCAAAAGAGTATATCAGCTCTACTATGGATTGTTCACAACTCCGTCAACGAGCTCGAGTGGTGATGGAAAATTCCGGCATGACCATGTAAAAATTGTAGCCTTGGTTTTAAAGTAAACAAAGTTCATGGCTTACCTGGAATGTACCCTTTATGTAGAGGTTATCTGTACTATTGCTAAAATCGTACTACCCACCTTCTCACCGCAAGCAGAGTGTACATGATTGATCTGGTAGAACTGCGTTTGGATTCTTAATGCTGGAATCTGGTTGTCAATTCGAGCAAGTTTACTGTAGTATGTGCCATCGAAGACGGAGATCAAAATACACAAGCAGAATTGAAGCGGAGGAAGAAGAAGAAAAATGCTCTGTAAAACTTTCCCCACTGTCATATCAGTAATTGGCACTGTCAGAAATCTGAACATGAAACATTTCAGCTTCGTGGCTACTCGATTAAAGCAAGTTGAATAACTTGAGCGTAGTATACAACAGTAGTGTCTGACGAAATGTTTTGCATTGGCGAGCCAGCCCCCGATGCTGAGCCAGCCCCCGATGCTGAGCCAGGTTCGAGTTTTTTACACAATTGAAGTACATTTGTTGTGCAGTGTATTCTACCTTTATCAATTATCGTAGTATAGACAACATGAATTGAAATGTCAGATATGCTGATGAGTCAATCTACGAGTATGAAAAATTTTCTTTGCTAAACTGCAGATGACGGTTTGGCCCCGAACTCATATCATACCTCATTCGTTCGCGAAAAGCGCCATTCACTACATAGTGTCCCGAATAATTCAATCTGTCCATTCCACAGCTTTAGTATGGTACAGCACCTACAAAAGATGCTGGTGGACACCCACCAAAATAAAACGAAAACCACAGGGGGTGGGCTTATAATAGTGTACTGTATTGTTTTCTGACCAATAAACACCGTCTCGCAGTGAGTGGTCTCATGTACAAGCAAGATGGTAATAAATCACCGGTATGCTACTGTATTGATGGCTGCTTCATTCTTCAACTTCCCTGAGGTTACCAAATAAAGTATCAATTATACCCTTCAAAAACTGCAAACGAGTTCTCACCTTTCAACAAATCATCGCATAATGCTATATCGTCCCAGAATATGCTTGATGGCGCCACGCACGAACACTCAAAGGAGAAACTTATATGCTTCTTTATTCTAGTATAATTCGACAAACAAATATCGACTTTTATCGCTATACAAGGTTACTCAGTCATAGCATGTAGGCCCCTGTCGAATGTATGGCAAAGAGTTGTGGATGAAAAGTTGCACCATCACAATCTTCCCTTTCTGATACAATATATAGTTCAAATCGCCTAGTGTTCTGCTATCCTATTCATACTGATTACTCATCAGTTCAAATCATGAACGGTACATAGTCCATTGCCGACCTTCGTTGGGAGAAAGACAAGATGTATATGTTGCATGTTTTGAATAGTGCTCTGTATTTAGTTAACATAACTTTTGCTTTGTGTGGGTTGGCTTCGGTATGACGACGAACGCTTGTTCCGGCATGAATCGACAAATCTTGAAACACGTTAATAATCGACGTTTTCGTCGAGTTTGTAGAGGTACTACACAAAACAGTTGTATCTTACGATCAGTTTATTGAACGTGCATACAATCCCTTGTAATTATATGCTTGGTACACCTTGATGTATAGCCACTCATGCTATCTCGACTCAACCATGCCTGGTCTACTACCAAGCTGCTTCTAGCATAGTGTCACACTTCTCCTATTATCCTTAGTCCTCACCTAGCAAACCTCTCTGCATCGCTATGTCTCTTCTGATACTATGCGGCTCCTCACCATGGTTTCCTTTCAATGATCTCTTCCATATGACCTTGTTAGAGTGTATTGTAGTAGACTTTAAAAGAAGTGCAAGTGTATGTATTTATTTCTGACCTCGACCTTGGTTTTATACCTAAGGTGTTTGTGCTAGTGTTCAGCCGCTTGGGCTGTCCAGGGTAACAACTCATATGGTCAGTATGAGAAACCTTCTGCAGAACACTTTAACACTTCGATGCTATTCTATTTCGACTTATCTGCTACTAAATCTCACGCTGATCATATTATGCCTTTCCGCAAAGGTTGTGACTAACATAGGAACGCAGCTGTTTTTAGAATGTTGCGGTTGACAGACTTAGTTCACTCGCGGGAGTCGGTTGACTACAAGGTTTAACTGAGCATAGTTTCCTTGGAACTCTTAACGTTACCAAATTTATCCTCCGAGCAGCCAACTAGATTGCCAGTCTGATGACTCAAAGACATATGTCGGAAGCGAACGCTAGCGAATAATTCTGTTTGATTTCAAAGAGAATAAGTGATTAGGTAGGGCCGTTAGGAAGGCATAGAAAGGATTTGGAAAGGTTTGTCTTATAGTTTAAATACGTAATTTTAAGGATCTGATAAGGGCTTTCTGATCGGATCTTGAACACTTAACAAGTTTATGTTTGTTCAGGCAATAATCAATAAATATACATCAACTTCGTAGGAAGGGAGTATATTGAAATATTGTTATCATAGTGTACTTTAACCAATTTTTTAACAAACTTATAGAAGTTGTATATGTACTGATTATTATAGGAACTCAAGACAAGTATAGATAAATAGTTACGTAGGGTAGAGAAGACGATGGATGTCACATAAGTCACTCTCGTGACAAGATTAAAAATCGAATGGGCAGATCTTTCGGTGAGTTTCCTCGAACCTTCGAATATTCTAAGACCAATTAGATAACAATTGGACCAACAATCAATAGATCCGGATAGGGGCGTAGGCAGCAGCTATTCAAGAATGTCAGTTTTATTGTCCGATTCCGGAAGCGACCAGGAGGTTGCACATTGAATCGACAAGGGACATAGAAGAACATCAACACCATGTCCATCCGCACAACAGACGTATTCCCAAAGAAGGTAGGAGGATGGCGAAATGTAGGTACTAAGGACACTAACTGAACACACGAAGAGAACACTGCTGGAGGAAGACGAATTGCAAAAAGAAATGAACAAATATCGACATATGAACAGGGAAAGATACGGACGAAGAATACCGTAGGTAAGATCCACAACGGTTAAGGTAAGTGAAAGTTACACGTATGGTAAGTACGGAGTGACGAGTATACTACCCCGTTAAATAAGTAGCACGAGATGTCATGAGATGATGTAAAGTAATGAATTTCAAACCATGAGATGGTATAAATTAATAACAATACAGGACAATAGGACGATGTAAATGGACAACAATGGTGTAGTTACGACTAAGGAAATGTTAGGCCGAGGATATGTGTGAAGTTAGGCTCGTTGTAGGAGGTGTCACGATATAAGAACCGTGATAAGTGTTATATTAATAACGAGTAGTGAACACAAGGTGTAGCGCGACACGTACATGTATATTGGTAAAGTATAAATACACATGGGTGGTGTTGTGGCCAAGTAAGACGAATATGACACAGCATACGAAGGATACACAGCCTACGGGGCCGGCAGTGATGAAGTTTAGTTAGGAGACAGCAGGCGAGGTATCATAGGCAGACATGACAACAGATGAAGTGAGGTGAGCGGTTCTGCAACACATGAACAAGCAACATACAACATGAAGTAAACAGCTGTACATGAAAAGTGGGCGATAGGTCAGGTACTTTTGAGAAAAGGGGGAAAGGTACAAAGGCATGTAGGGAGTAATCGCGCATGTTCCGGAATAGAGCTCCGCCCATAAACTATCCGTGATTAGGGGAGCGGACATGCTTCCCGAGTAAAACTACTCCTGCACAAGAGCAGGACTCACTAAGTAGTAAGTACTCCTAGGAACTGTCTCATACCTCGGAAATCCTCAAGCACATGAGCATCTAGGAAGACCAACACATGTGGACATTCCCACATAGATTAGACGATAATATATAAGGTGGACGAATGCTTCAACAAAAGTCATTTCCTACACTGAAGCATATTTTAACGAAACAATTTCTTGCACGATGGTGAACGTCCGCCAAAGTAGACGACAGCGACACATGTAGCCAGAACAACAAGGTCGCCTTGATATTCATCAACGAGCATCAGCGAGGATTGTAGCTAAAGGCGCCAACTGGGCAGGAACCCGCGGATTGGCAAGGAAACGAGGAGGCCTCACGGGGGGGCTTGAGAGACTACAGAAGTAAACGTATTTCTATATACGTTAATAACGTTTTACGTCGTCAGCCCGAGAGTAATTTGGGACTTGTTCTCAATTAATATACGTATAGGTGGGTCAGCCCGAGAGAACGTAAGAGTAATTTGAGACCTTCTCAGATTATTCTATTTATAGGACACGGGCCACCGGCTAGCCGAGAGCCGAGGTCCGAGACTGAGTGTACGTATCAGAGAATATGATATATATATTTCTAGAAAATATATCCGAGTGCTAAAGTGTTTTGCATAAGGTTTCTCATACTGATCATATGAGTTTTTACCCTGGCCAACCCAAGTGGTTGAACACTAGTACAAACACCATCAGTATATAACTGAGGGTGAGATCATAAATAGATTCATTCGGACGCACCATCTTTTTCAACCATTTGCACTTTATATAAAGACCACTACATTGCACTCTAATAGGGCTCGAACAAGAGAAGTTCGGGATAACCAAGCAATCTTACGACGCACACTCGACGCCCACTATGCTCGAATACAGTCAGACGGAGGCTTGACGCCTGCAAGCGATGTGGGTAGTGAGCCATCGGCAAGGGACGACCTGTGTCAAAGTCAGATAGAAGCTGATAAAGACCAGATGAGGGGGGTGAGAGATGCTACAGACAACCACCTATCTCAAATACGGCTATAGTAGCGTCAGAGACAGGTGTAGCATCTAGGAATTAGATTATCAAAAAGCCAATACAAATCCCAAAACCTCAGGATAAAAAAAATTGAGTTTTGGAATTGGGATTCAAATATTCCTGATATTAGAGTCATCAGAAATATCAGCGGTAGAACCGGTAAGCTATCTGGGACTCCGTGTGAGAGAGAAACACTCAAGTAGAAACCCGAGTCTATTGAATTAGAAAACACAAATAAAGACTCCGTTCGGTTTCCTAAGCCTTCCTATAACTAAATTGTACTTCTGAGACATATCGCTTACAGTCAAATGTAATTGAATTCTCTTCTGTCAGTTAGCATTACGTGTGCATGGTCAATGGCTTCTTCACAATTGGCAACTTTGCCGTTACCCAAGATTAGGATGGTGTTTTTTATATATGTATACTCATACCAGTAGCGTAGACTGTTCGGCGTGATATGGCGGAAACTTCAGCACGTGGGACCAATAGAGCTATAACTATTGCACCATTCACGTAAATACACTGAAATACTCGTTCATCACCTTTGGTAAAGATATTTTTAAGTTAATGCACAAATGTGGTTTTAGGGTTTTATTTGAACATCCGACTTGTCCGTACAGTTATCGGCATGTGATCCTTTGCAATAGAACACTCTTTCATGTAGTGTCCAAAGATTGGCTTACCAGGAGCATATTTTCTAAGATTACAGGGGTTGCCCATTCCATTTAGGTTCATAGTTACATAGCCTTACAACCATCACTCAAAGTCTAGCTGCAAAGAACCGTCAATACATGCATCTATATATACAAGCCTCAGGATATTGAGGTATTTCCGAGAACAAAGGAGCTGAGCGTTCTTGTACAGATTGCGTATACGATTAATATAGCAGACACTAAGCTCATGGAGGCATGTGCGCCACATTTGGTAGAAGGTATCATAGCTTCAAATTCTGCAGAAGAATATTTAACCGACCTACCGCTCGCTCGCTCTTACCCCGGATGATTATGTCGAAATTCTAGCTAAAACACGTAGTGGGGTGTGCGAAGACCGCTAGTTATATCGCAAATAAACGCTCAGCCCATATGGTTAACGTGCTTGAATTTGAATTTGAGTGGACAATATAGTACTCTTAGAACCAGAAAAAGGTGGAATAGATTTGATATAAATAGCAAATTGGTACACGTGTTCGATGATAAGAGTTAAGCAATGATAAGCTGCCCTCTAATCTCATCACAATTTTATAACAATAGGGTGTGGTTTGGTCGGGTGCTTATGTACGTGCTATCAATGTAGGCGCAATGGCTGAAGTACAAAAGGATTCTATGGCAGGTGGCGTTCGATTTAGCCCCCTTTTCATGAAAAAAGACTAATAGACAGCGTTGTTTATAGTGCAAAAACTCCTTGCTTGTGTCTTCCAAAAGTATTGTGCCAAACCTGCGGGTATTAGATCTAGTGGTGCCTGGTCCTTGCCAGAATTGCCACAATCTTCTGTTGACTACGCATGTGCACAAAACATTCCGCCGGGACCAGGACTTGCAAGTCGTTGTCCTAACTTACAACGAGTACCGGTCCAGGCTAGCACAGGTAGCCGCACACAAAAATGGTGGGTCTACAGTTCAACGTACATCGGCTACAAGCACATCGACACGCGCGACTCATATCGCGATGGCTACTATAGCTATCAACTGTATGCTGCCGGTGTTACAAATTTCTGGTATTGAAAATACGAAAGCAGACGGTACTCGAGATTCTGTTTTGACATATACAATATCTAGATTTGAAGTATGCGCTGAGGGCGAGCTGGTGAACTTAGACGAAAACAATTGATCATATCAGTTTGGAAGAGAAGGAATGCAGCGCAGAAATGAACTGTTTGGAACATGGATATGAATTCAATGTACTCATCAAAGCTTCGGAATATGGTCATTTATTGCATTTGTGACATGGGATGTATACACTGCTCGAAGTTATTCAAGTACATTTCTACTCCAATTTTACAGAATATACAGGTACGATCGTTCGCAAGAAAATAACTATTAGGGTGTTAAATGTGCTGGTTCCCGCAGCAGTACTGCAGTGTCCTGAAGTCTCACTGCTTACGCCCAGTGTGAAGTCTCTACATAATGCGGGCAAATTTTGTCTGCTTGCTACATACTAGTGGTCAGGTTGGGCACACGTATGTTTGATGGGTTGTTTACAGATTCAACTCTACAACATTTGCAGTTGTTGCCCTGTTTAGATACACTAAATAGCTGATAGAACTCTTATCAAAAACCGTGTGCGTTTTTAACGAGCACGGCGCCAGTTGCGTTGTAATGCAGTATTTTTTTTCCGGGTTGATACCCTCGCCTTTGTTGAGTGCTTCGGCAAAGTATTCCATAAAAGTTTTTGATAGCGCGGTATACCTTCTAAAATCTCAAAAATTGGCGCCAATCATAAGCCAATTCTGTGGCTTACACATGTACACTTGGCAATAATATAAACATCGTAAACTATAAATAAATAACTAAAAACAACTTACAGTGCAAATTTATTAATAAAAACAACGTGTAATATAAATAGATAAATAAAACTATGCTGTAATATAAACAGTTAGATAAAACCATGATAAAACCATGATGCGAGTTAAAAAAATATTATTGCTGATATGTATGTGCATTATGCGGCTTATGCCTACCATACGTATGAAGTTGGGTGACTGTCGCTGACGCATTGTCGCTGACTCATACGCATGCAATTTTTGCAGCGAAAGCAAAACTAATAAATAAAATCCATATGACTGACGATCCCATTTCAATTTTATTACAATATCTATGACTGAAAAGGAAAGCAGGTGATATACACAACACGTTCAAGGAAAGCTACACGAAATTACAACATTATAACTTTTAGACCCCAACTAAAGTTGTATCGTCGGATCATGTCATTATTTGTATAATTTGACAGTGATTGACTATGATGGTGAACGTATATAGTTTGGGAATCATGCAGTACACGCTGATATCATCTCTTAGGAATCTCGAAGAGATACAGGCTACCCTATTAGCTACTCCCCATATCTATTTTTCACGACGGACCTTTGATTCAAATTTTCGCCTCCGAAACGTAAATCTCGGTGACCAGTAGGTCACCAGTGTAGAACTGAATACCACTTTCAAAAAAACCCACAGACGCCACCAAAACGTTGACTTGAAATTTGGATTTTCAATCAAAAAACGAAATTTATCCAGTAGGGAG